GACTTATCATGAGAACAAACGTATTCACGTGACTTTAAGAACATTTATTACTGAATGGAAACACTGCAGTTACAAAACTGTGTTTTTTTTCGATATTAACAGAATATCAACAAAGTTTTGTGCACATTTGCAATGGAAACACAACTACTGTCACTTTAAAATGGACTGAGGTCAGCTGGAGAACTGTTCTGTGGTCAGACAAATTGAAGTTTTATAATCCTCCAGGAAGTAACTGACATAAGTTTCTCTGTCAAAGAGAGAAGGTCCTGTTATCATGGTTAAAACGCCTGCCTCTCTGATGATATGGGGGTGCTTGTGTAGCTTACAGATTTGGAAAGACAACATCAGTGCTGTAAAGTATTTACAGGTTTAAGAAGACCACATGTTCCCATCCAGACAGTGTTGTTCAGTGAAGGCCTTGCACATTTCAGCAAGAAGCCACAAACTGACTCCATCACAGAACCATGCATTAGTAGTGGGGGAGTCCCTGGCTGCAGTCCAGACCTCACGTACCACCTACCAGTAAAATAACCAGTGGGCTTACCTGTGGCTGTGGTGGTGCTGGTGCTGCTGGTGGTGGAGGCTGCTGTGCTGGACGGGTTGGTGCCTTTCTTAGTTCCTGTGACAAACTCAATCTGAAAACACACAAACACATGAAACAAGTTTAAACTGCTGCTGCAGCTCACACACAGGCTCTTTTTACAGACTTTTCTAAATAAACAAGCATTTGAGAGAAACTTGTTGCTTGGTAAACTTTGAATAACATTCACACTTTCTTTAGATTTCTGCTTCCATGTGCTGAGTGTTTCCACACAGGTCCATATAAGACCTGACACGCCGAGTGCTTCCTCTGTCAGGTAGTTTAAACTTGTTGTAACATTTAGAACGATGACGCTGCTGCACATCATGGCAGCATGAATCAGATTTATAACCACACTTCGTCTTCCCTGGAGATAATTATACTCAACCCTTACAGAGATTTTCTTTCTCTGAAACTAATTCAACAGTTCAGTCAGGGACAGGCTGAACTGCTACTGAAAAGGTTTTTATTTTTCTTTCAACAGAATCTAACATGTTACACAAACACCTGAATTTCAGTTAGAAAAGCTGAACTTTGGATCTGGACGTTTCTGATGAAGAACATTAAGCGAGGCTGGTGCAGACTTGCCCCTGACGTAAAAAAGAGATCCTCCACATCTCTTTGTTGTTGTTGGCCTCACCTTGGTGCGCTCCTTCTTGGCCTTTTCCAGCTTGTCCATCTCCACTTTCTGGGCTTTGGCTAGAACAGAACAGGTCTGTGAGATCTGAGCTGTAATGATGTTACAAAGGTGAACCAGAAGAAACTAGCTCACCAAGAGCCTCGTAGTAGGAGTCTTCTGACCAGCCATGAGGATCAAACATATCTTTGGGGTAGTTTGTTCCCAGCTCATCGATTCCACAGTACTGAATGAGCTTCTCATAAATACTGAAAAAAAGGTTTGATAAGACATCAACATACACTTTGGTTTGCTGTGTTCAGCTGAGCTGCATACCTCGGGTTTCTAAACTCCTTCTTCTTCTGGATGTGGCTGTTTGTGTCAAAATCTCCATGCAGCTTCCTTTCATACAGTTTGGAGATCTTCTCCTGRTGAGCAGAAAAAAAACAAAGCAAAAGAGAAATACTTCTGCTGTGATTTCACTTTGAGTTTGCATTAATTTAAATTCAAGTTGTCAAACAGATGCATCAGCTCTGACCAGGTGGGCTCTTGTTTATTAGATTTCTGACATTTCTCAGAAACATTTGACAACAAAGTTMAACCAAGTTGTATCATAAGTGTTACAGTAGCTTTGGTCAAAAATGAATGGACTGTTCAGAAAAACCTCATTCAAGAATATTCCACTTCTTTGCTTTAATAAACTCCTGGGTTGCTTTGGCTTCGTGTTTTGTGTCATTGTCCATCTGTGGTATGAAACAACGACCCATCAGTTTGGCTGGATCTGAGCACACAGRCTTGGACAGGATGAATTCTGAGGTATTCAGAGACATACTGTGTTAAAGCAAAGAAGTGGAATATTCTTGAATGAACAAGTCAGTCACCTGATCTCAACCCAGCTGAGCATTTCACTTGTTAAAGACTCAAGTTCAGACAGAAAGGCCCACAAACAAACCTGTGCAGTGAAGGCCTGTCAGAGCATTAAACAGGAGCAAACACAGCGTCTGGTGATGTCCATGAGTTCAAGACTTCAGCCAGTCATTGGAAACAAAGGCTTTTCAACCAACTACTACAAATRAACATTTTATTTATTATTTTCTCCATTTCTGAGCCTCTGAAATGAAGGGATTGTGTTTAAAGATGCTTTAGTTCTTTATATTTCTGCCATTATTTTGTTCACGGCATTGAATTAAAGCTGAGAGTCTGAACTTAAACTGCTTCTGATTTGTTTTGTTCAAAATGCTGTCTCTGTCCAAATAGATAGGAACCCAACTGTAACTATTATCATCACCAGGGAGGAAATGTTTTCCCACAAGCTTATTCCAGGGGATTCTGATCTTATCAGTCCATGAAATGGATGTTATTAGGCGTTATCAGTCCCATACAATGGCTTCAGAGTGTCCCTACTGTGCCTTCTGGGCTTCAGACTGTCCCGACAGTGCCTCCTAGTGGGTTAATATATCAATGACAATGAATGTGTAAATAACCAAAAGATAGTGTAATGAATTTTTTGTGCCCGTGTCGGTCTCAAACCCTGGTCCAACACTCTGCCCATTGCCCTATTGGAAGGCTACAATATACAACCATTGGAGGATGGGATCTTTAGCGCTAACCAAGTCATTTGCTCTAAAGTTAACCTTAGTGGCTTTAAGCCTCATATTAACCAGTTTTTTATGCCTCATGTTAACCACATAGTGGTTTTATGCCTCATAT